CGGCATTCAAGGAAGCCTGGCCAGCCAAGCTCCTGAGCATCAATGACAGCGACTCACACGCCAGAGATCCGAACCTGTCCTACGCGCAGTCCCACCGATAGCTACAAAAAGTCAACCGGCCCACCTGTTTGGTGGAAAGAAACACTGTGGGACGCCTCGCCCAGGGTCCTGAACTGTCAGGAGAAAGGCCGGATGTGGAAATATTTAAAGTAAACGGACGTGGATTTTGTGACTGGATGGGATTTACCCTTCACTGCTTAGGGGATCGGGCTGTCAGGAGATGATCTTGCATTCTTCAGCGCGCATGCCTCCATAGAATCATTTCAACTCCTTTTTTGGAGCACACCGTTACCAGGTGAACCTTAACCCTCCCCCCCTTCCCCAAAGGGAAGATTTCAAGGCGACAGGACAATGAACACGAATGACCTTATGTTCCTTTATTACAATGGGCTTGCACCCCAAATACTCTCACCTTTAAATCTGTACAGTCTAAGAATGGCCAGTATGTTATTCCTCGTTGTCTGTCCTCCATTTACACATCTTATGATGCCGAAGCAATTCGGAATCGTCCGCGGAACAGCCTGTGCCGAAGACCTCCTGTCTCTCGTGAACGAGATGTAATGGCCCTGTGATCCCAGACTCTCCAGCAGGACGCAAGCCGCCGCCACGGAAGAGGCGAGGAGAACTCCGGGCACTGGGAAGCGGACGCCCTCTCCTTGGCTCCACCCCGGAGACGTCACGCGAACTTTTGAAAGCCTCTTCAGCAATGAGCTCGGGAAGAAAGTGCAGGCTGCTGGCAGTGGAGGAAAGCGTCGCTGAGTCTCACCCAGGAGGGTTCTCGAGGCAAGAGACGAGCATTGCCTGCCACTCCCAGCCAAGTAGGAACCGGGCCCGAGTCCGATCCTGCCGTAGCTTCCTCTACCCAATGAGCTCGGGCTAGCCTGGGCCATCCAAGTCAGGGCCATCCAAGCGTACAGACCGGAACCCAGACCGGAAGCAAACTCTGTAAACCCAGTGCGGTTACTCCGTAATCTGTTTTAGGATTGGGGGACAGCAAGGAAAAATTGAGGTAACTGACGTCAACGCAAGCACGACTTACTTCAAAGCAGTTATGTTTAGAAGACAACTGTTACATTTTCCACTATGCTGCCTGGAGGTTGTTGGGACACAAAAGGAGAAGAAACTACTACAGGGGATGTTTTACGCCTGCATTTTAAACGTTTGTACACAGGGAAAGTTCCACTGATTTCAACAGAATTTATTTCCTTGCGTAAACCAATCTCCTTAGAAAGAAATATTACTAATTAGTTGCGAAGAAACGACTTCCTCTATTCAAGCCTGCTTTTCATGTATTGTTAGCCTTTTCATACCCTTCTGCCCACACACATCGTGCTTCGGCTGACTTTGGTAGCGCACTGAATGCGCGGGGTGTTTCAGCCTCTACACAGTCTGTGGGGAGGGAACGGAGAGCTTGAAATAGGTCGGAGCAGTTATGGAAGGCCGCCTCGTTTTCGCTCAAGCCAGCCTCGACCTGGTCACTACCGCACTGCGCGCACCCACGAGCTTCTTCTGGGGGGAGTCGTCTGAAGATGGAAGATTTTCCAGCCTACTTTGGTATTTCTAAGGCAGCGCTGGCTACTTCAGAACAGTCGTGTTTCTAGATTGCTTCAGAAACGTTCCTAATAAGCGTGAGGACTCTGAGGAGAAGCAGAAAGAACAACTATTGTATCCGGAAGCATGCCCACCCCCCAACTCAGAAATCCCCACTGGCGCGATCCGCCAAACAGGGAAATGGGAATGCTTTACTTCCTACACATCAGAGAAGCAGCAGCTTAGCACATGCTTTCGCCCTGCAGCCCGATCCTAACTAGGACGACTCACAAATGCGTTGATTTAGGATGGCAGCCAGTATCGGGTTGCAGCTGGTGGAGAGGACGACCACACACGCGGCCACCTGTCTGCTTCTTTTCTCTGGCAGACTTTTTACTAAGCAGCAAAGAGAAGCCAAGGGAAAGCTTGAATCCAAGCGGATTTCTTGCTTAAGAGCACATATATCGCCCCCTTCCCCGAAATCAGTGGGACTGGGAGGCGCAGGCACATGCACACCCGCCTCCCGACACGGACCTCTCCTTTCCTTGGAGGTAAAGCCTCCCTGAAATTCAGGAACCGCGCTGAGAAGGGTTTGGGGGAGCAAGCTAGACTGTCCGGATTCGCTGAGAATTGCCCTGGAAGAACAGAGCACGCCCGCCCAGGCCAAGGAAGGCCCCTCCTTTGTCAGGTGGCTGGAAGGAGGCCTCCGGAGGGCAGAGAGCGCAACCGCCATAAGGCCGTCATACCACGGCCTGTCTTCAAGCAGCACCCCACTCCCGGCAAATATCCTCTAAAGTAAAGTCGAGCTAACGCCAACTTGATTCCCCCTCTATTTTGTCCCGGGGGGGGGCTGGAGACTCGCAGGTGGCACCGGTTCGAGGCCAAGCGCGGAAGAGCAGCGGCTTAAATGGATCATTCCTGTGTTAGGACACAGGATGTTACGACAGAGTTAAATGTTGTTTGTTAGGACACAGGATGTTACGTTACATAATGTATTCAACGGCAGGAAAGTTTGTGAGAGTTGTTTATCCTAATGAAGTGACCTGTAACCTTTGTATTGGTCAACTAACATCTTGTTTTGTAGAAATGCTTTGATCTAGCATTAATGTATTCACAAGTTTATGGCCCTTTGTGTGAACCAAAAGAGGTAGTTCTCTTCTAGAAGCCCAGATAGAAAGATGTAGCTGTTAGCATATATTACTGAGAATAACTGCAAGTATGTAACTTTTATTTTATTTCTTTTATCCAAAGTACCATACCCATGTTTTATTTTGTTTTCATAGTAAAGATATTTTTCCTTTACTAAGTTGTGGCTCTTGTGTTTGCAATACAACCATCGACCTTGAATCAAAGAATCCCAACAGGGTGGCTCTTGCCGTTGCGTCGGGTTGGACGGGGGCAATCTCAAATATACTTACGTGGAAGTAGGCTTCCCTGAAATAGATAGGTTTCAGATCTAAAGAAAGACCAGCGGCTGGAGCCTTTGTGAAAGCTGTGGGGGGAGGTAAAGGGGGAATCAGACAGTACATCTCCATAGTGGCACACACTAGTACAAACTCACTTCCTACACATCAGTGGACGCAGCCCCCACCACCTAATTTCCGGGAAAGAGCGAAGGCTGCCAGACATCCTAAAGAAAGAAACTACCTCCCTAAAATCAAACCCAAACCTTAAAACCGCGAGGCCAGGAACTCTGCGAGGTTCCACGATTTAATTGAGGAAAACTAAGCACGTGCTTAACAGTCCGTTTGACATGGAAAGGCTTAAAAACTCGTGCGTTGGGCTTTCAAAGGAACGTTCAAGCCCCTTCTATCCAAACATATTTACCCAGGGGGGAAATCCCACTGAATCCAATGGGATTTATTCCTAAATGAATGTCCATGTGGAGATAGATCAAGACGGGTAGCCGTGTTAGTCTCTCTGTAGCAGTAGAAAAGAGCAAGAGTCCAGCAGCATCTTAAAAGACTCTAACAAAATTTGTAGCAGGGTATGAGCTTTCCTGACTCACTACTATCTGAAGATACCTGAAGAAGTGAGCAGTGACTTACGAAAGCTCATACCCTGCAACAAATTTTGTTAGTCTTTAAGGTGCTACCGGACTCCTGCTCTTTTCTACTAATGCTCATACGATTGCAACAGAAGTAAATGTGCTCACAGTTCCAGGAGGTTGGCCACTAAACCTCCTACTGCTCAGAACTTACCAGAGATTGGGGGACGGGTGGTGTCTTGACTAACTTAGCATAAAGACACTAAAGACGCGGATTCACCGGGAGTTACGTGCAAGCCCCTGTACAGGGGGAAAGGAAACCAGATGCAGCAGCTGCCCAGAGAGTGCTTACAAGCAGCTGGGGAAGGAGGAGGGCGGGGGAGTGGAAGAGGCTAATAACTGATACTAAATAACAAGGGTGGTAACATATTACTAATAATTTTTATTATCTGCCTTGAGCCTGCCCCGTAAGAACGCAGAGGCTTAAAGGCTGAAACAGGTCATAGAGAGGGCAGGCGCAATTAAGCGGTTTTGCGCTTGGTTAGTCCCTTTTCGCCTCTATAGGGAAATCAGAATTCATCCCAAACTGTTTTATTACTTACGGTTACTCCATTCAACTCTCTTGCCATTCTCTCTGATGACCTGTGTCCATCAGAAACGTCTGAGAATGATCCGAAGAAAGGAGATATGCTGGGGGTTAAAATCCTTGAATTTCTTTTTTTAAATTTTGTGTCGGTAGGAAAATTATAAGCGCACACAAACTGAGGGAAAGAAGCAAATGGTTTTTCCTGCAGGGTGGCAAAACAAAGAGGAGCTGACTGCAGGCAAGAGGGGCTAGGAGTCGAATGTTGAATTACCTTTGTAATTTATTTGAATAAAACCACGTTCAGGACAAACTAGGTACATGTTAGAAATCACGGTCACCTGTCACGTGTCAGTTTCCCGGACATTCTGGGGTGCGGGAAGGCTTGGACAAAGGGATCCAGCTATTCAGTGGAGTTTACTCCTGAGGAAAGGACGGTAGTCCTAAACATACGCACTTGGCATCGTTGAGCCTTAAAGTCAGCGCAAGTCCTTCGCCGACGCCGAGGTTTGTGGTTCAGTAGCAGAGAGCGCATACTCGGTACTCTGCAGAAAGACCCATGGCCAGTCTTCGGTACCTTTGGCGGAAAGGATCTGAAGTAGACCTCTCTCTAGCTGAGCGTGTGGAGCGTCGCTGCCAGCCAGGCTGCGCAGTAGAAGGATCATGGGTGTGAGCATGATAGGAGGGGGGGGGGTCCTAGCTGAAGACAGTAAAAGGAAAAGGTTGCCTTGCTCGAAAGCCAGTCGAATCCGACACTCTAGGGTTGTGGTGCTCATCTCCGTTTCAAAGCCGAGGAGCCAGCACTGTCTGAAGACATTTCCGTGTTCATGAGGCCGGCATGACTAAACACCAAGGCGCACGGAACGCTGTTACCTTCCCAGCGAAGTGGTACCTATTTATCTACTTCCAATTTCTTGTTTGGGAACTGCCAGGCTGGCAGGAGCTGGAACTAGAGACGGGAGCTCACTCCGTCATGCGGCGAAGGCATTTGCCTGGATTCTGAACGTGCACTGGGTTATTTGTTGCGCTTGCAGGGGGGGGGGGGGTTTCATTTTTTGTTTCAAGAACAGCAAATTCCAGGGGGTGGGGGTGGCGCTTTGGAAACAAAATAAAGAAACGGAAGTTGTCTTTGAAATGGTCCGCAACCAGATTTTAACCAATTGATTCCCGAGGCTTCCTTTTGTGAGACTGTCGGGGGCGCGCGCGCGCACACGCACACACGATTCAAATGTTCTCCCCTGCCCAGAGGATGCGACCCGGAAATGACGGCCACGCAAGGAGCAAGGACAGCTGAGCCTATATTCTAGTTTTCAAAGCTTGCGCAACCAATTGGACGTGGTGCGTTTTTGTTGGGATTCTTTGATTCAAGGTCGATGGTTGTATTGCAAACACAGAGCCGCACTCAGTAAAAGAAAAATATCTTTACTATGAAACCTATCTGTTTCAGGGAAGCCTACTTCCACGTAAGTA